CACAATAGGTTGCGTTCATCTGCGCACAATTGATTGAATTTGATTGCTGTATTTATGTTTGAATTTTGCAATCTAAAGCTCTCAGCTTTCATTTGTCGATAGAAAGATTCATGCTTGCGCTCTATTGATACTGTTTTCTTTTAAGCCACTTTTTTTTTTTTCACCTAGTTAATTGTTAGTGAAAATCAATGAAGAATTTAATACTTTTGTTGTGTTGCATGTATCATCATTTCATCTGAATTGCTTCTTGGGATTATAGTTCAGGGAAAGATTAAAATAATTTTATTAGTTGTTCATTTTTATTTTTATTTTTTTGATACAGTGTGTTTGGCAGTTCTAAATCAAGAAAAGAAGTTGACAAGAACTGCTGGGTTGATCGGCAGTTTGTTTAAATGGGAACTCAACTGGATTTTCTCAGTTACCTTGGTTATGACATGTCAGTGAAGATTTTCACATGTTTGGATGATCCGTCTGATATTGCGCGTGTTAACTGTGTCTCTCGCTCTTGGCGAGATTTTGGTGAGTTATTAACAACTGCAGATGTACACATGGTAAAGGGACTGAATTGTAGCCTGTTCAAAATATTTTGAAAAGTTTTACTTTGGGATAGGTTGTCTAGAAGTATGATTGATGAGTCAATAAAAGTCTGAGCATTATGGTTGGCCGCTGGGGTACCACTGTAGTTTGTACTTAGTTGTGCTATTTTCACTGATCAAAGAAGGTAACAGTTCATAAGCAAAATAGTAGGTATTGATTTTTTGTTTGCTCTTTCATGAAATTTCCAGTGATAGCTAATGGTCTTGCCAAGCATCTGTGCTGGAGGACGTTTCCTCAATTATCTAGAGTTGATCATGTGGTTGAGCCAGCCTCCATGGCAGAAAGTCCTGTGGCAGTTGGATCTAGTAACATAGAATGGGAAACTCTGAAGAAAGAGCACAGAGCTTATGCCTTTCTGGGTCAAGGTTTTATGTCATTTCCTGAAAAAAGCATAGATATAGTGGGATGGAGAGTTTCATACGGTAATCCTGTGTTCCCTATAATTGTAACTTACAAATTGGAGGCTGATTTTTGTGTTGTTACTGAATTTAGAATAAAAACTTTCGAAGCTATGTGTTCCAAACTCTTGATTGTTTTGATACTTTTTCACTCCTTTTAACATCTACCTTGTAAATTTGCCCTAAGACATTTTATGTCCAGCTGTTCTCCTGTGGCAGTGGGGCTTCTATTTTGCAAAATCTGTTCGATTCCGAATGGGTCATCTCAACCCCTACTACAATGATAGTCTTATGGATGAGTCATGCCTGGATTCTCTTGGTGACAAGTTTGTGTGGACTTACACTTCACAAGAGTTTTCAGTTGTTCCGGTGGGTTCAAGTAGCTCAATTGATTTTCCTCATGGCTCCTAGTTGATATCATCTTCTTGTTTTGCCATTAAAGATGAACAGTAATAGGATAAAATAGCATTATCTGCTAGTACTGATTGCAATTGATTATTATTTCTCAGGAGGTAGCAAATGGTGGCTTTTGTGGTTTGGCACTATTAGTTTAAGTTTCATTTTTCCTGAAATCATTTTTTTCCCTTGTTTTGAATTTGCAAAAAGATAAGTCTCTCAAAAGCAGTGATAATACTAATTACTATAACCATTGACAGGAAGATTTGTTGCAGAGCTTTAAGCTTCCAGAACCTGTTCTTTGCATTGGTGGAAGATTGCAGATTG